CCGCGGCCTCGCTCCAGGCGACGCGGGCGCGACCGGCCGCCTCGAGGCGCAGCCCGCGCAGCGGCAGCGCGCCCGCCAGCTCCAGCAGCACCTGCCCCGACACCGTGTCGCCGCTGCAGTAGCCGCCAAGCCGGGCCTCGTCCTCCAGCACCAGGGCCAGCGTCTTCACCTTCCCGCCGGCCCCGGCGCCCAGGCCCGGCCCGGMCGCCGCCATCGCCCCGCTCCGGGGAAGCGGGCGGCCGCCCTCGACGACGGCTTTAAAACCCGCCCGTCTGCGCCAGGGCCCGCAGCGCGGAGTCCCGCCCCGCCGCGCTCCTCATTGGCCCGTCGCGYGCTCGGCGCGCTGCTATTCGCCGCCGCGCGGCTGTGCGACCCCCACCTCCTCATTGGGCCGCCGGCGGCAGCACGCCTGGCCTTGCGTCACGCTGCGTGATCAGCGCGGCTGGGCCAATCCCGTGGCGGTGGCTGCGCGTGGACAGGGCGCTGATTGGCGGCGTGGCGGCAGCTACCCGGCCTGCTGGCCAATGGCGGGGCACTGCTACCACGTGCACAGCTTGTGGATAAACAGGCGGACGGGGGTGGAGCCAACGTGAAGGGAAGGGGCAGGGAAATGGCGGCCGGGCTGGCAGGGGGCAGGGATACAGGGACGGCAGAGCGGCTGCACATGGCGACCCCCAGTCGGGTCGTGTTGTTCTTCCTTGGCTAAATGGTTCTGCAGAGCAAGGTGTAATAATTCTGTTTCTGCAAACGTTTTGGAGCCAATACTTGATTTATTTGCTGGCGTATATGCGAAGTTTGTCATTACTTCCAATTTGTAAAAGAAACCACAGAGCTTTGGAGAAACCACACAGCCTATATGGGAAGCACCAGATGTGTCTACAGTATGAAATGCCTTTGGTGTGATGGACGGTTGCTAAAATTACTCCAGGAAGAGTCGTGTTCTCTGATGGCTGGGGCCTCTTCCTGAAGGTGTGGATGATGGCGTGAGGACGGAGTCAGGGCCTGGCCCAGGTCACCTGCGTCCTCGAGGCCTCGCCACGGTGGCAGCTTCCGGCGTCTCCTCTCCCTCCATGCACAGGAAGGCACCGGTCTGGTGGCTCCATGTCACCCGAGTCCCCGACTGACTCATGTAATCACTGCAATTAGCAAAAAAAAAAAAAAAAAGCCATCCACACTCACAGCATTGGCTTTTAAATAACTCTCAGAGTCCTTTGTGATACCCTGTCCCCTGAAACTTTGGCGCTCATGCAAAATTACTTGGGTAATGAAGAGCTCTTCCTTGTGGAGAGCCAGATAGGCCTTCCGAACACCTTGGAACAGCAGGGGGAAAAGTAACATGGTTACAGGTGAGAGGAATTTATGGGGTTTATCAGGATCCTTGGCCACAGCTGCCCCTTCTCCTGGAGCAATATGTAACTSAAGAAACAATCCTGTGGTGGTTGGTTGTGTAATTAAAAATGGTTGGATATTCATATTCCTCCTATTGTGCTTTCTTTGCTAGCTAAATAGATTAACTGAGAAATAATTTGTTTTGTTCTTTTTTTTGYGATTCACTACAAGCTTGTTTGGATCAGGTTCACAATTTTCAGGGCATCACCCCCCCCTTGGGTAACTGTGTATGGCAAGAAGAGCATGTGAGACTGGACATTCGTGTTTATGGTGTTTCTGTCAGCCTGAAGAGAAAGTTCTGGGTGCATCTGTAGAAGCTGCAAGTGTTCCATACTTGGGAACTGTGGTGTATAAGGCCATCATTGTTCCTATTTTTAGTTAAAGGTACAGAGTCTAATGTGACATAAAGTGACATTGTTTCTTGCAACTGATTTTGAAAGTACAGTGCATATAAAAGAAAAAAAAAACTTTATTTCTGTTTGAAATAGATTCTGGGGAGGAAAAAAAAAAGCCAATTCCTAGAGATATTACACAACTATTCAAACTTTGCCTCCCATTTCTTCTTTGTAAGTGCAAGTGAGCTAGATAGGTCAGTGAATATACATGGACAATTG